AACAACTAATTGTATATTTTAAAGAATATACTTCAAGTAAAATAATTACTGCCCTTGTATACTTTGTAGTTAAAGTTAACACTAGAATACTAGATTAAGAAAAACAATATTGTAACACACTAACACTTTAATGACTGTCGGCAGACKAAATTGCTTTCAYTCAAATACATTTACACAAATAAATATAATGAATGAAAGTATTTGAAAACGTTTTCATAGGGGATTTGCAGTAGAACCATTTATTTTTCAAATTTTTACATTTTATTTAATTATTTAATTATTTACAATTTATTTACATATTATACCTACYCATACTATATATTTTATTAAAACAAAATAAAATCATTGCACAAAAAGTGAAAATAAAATAATTTTGTGGCATATTTAAATTTTAAATATTGCATTCAATGATTAAAAATAATAATATGTTTTCCRTTGTTGTCCTTCTTTTTCTTAGTATTTTACTTGTGTATGCATAATATTTTAAATATTTACGGATTTATTATTTTATGATGACCATAATGGACTACATAAAGTGTTATAGATGGATGTTACCGTGATGTACGCATAATAAACAATATTAATATTGTATTAAATGTATATGTTTAAGTTAAACGGTATATTGTGACGCGTTGTTCTTATATTTAGACGAATGCGATACGATAGTCGATGGTCAAAAAATACCCACAGCTCTACTGTTATCGCCAGATTTTAATTTCCATTCGTTTGGAACTGCGGCCCGTGATTATTTTCATGATATGCACCCGGAGGAAGCACACAAGTGGTACTACTTTGATAAGTTCAAGATGTTTTTATACAATAAAGACGTGAGTGAAATCGTATTGTTTAGGTACCCTACTGAAGCGTATTTAGTATAAAATTGAAATTATTTTCAGGTAATCTCTAAAGAAACACATATAATGGCCGCCAACAGTGTGTCCCTCCCAGCCACTCGCATATTGACTGAAGCTTTACGACACCTTAGATATTTAATTTTAGAAGAACTCACTGAACGGTGTTCCGAAGCTTTGAGCCTGGATTCAATTTCGTGGATACTTGCCGTGCCTGCTATTTGGAATAAAAGTACCAGGCACTTGATGAAAGAAATTGCAATCGAGGTTTGCAAGAACACAAATTATTTTAGTAACCAATTTATTAGTGATAATAGTCAACTATTTAATACTAATAAATGCATTTTATTCAACAATACTTACAGTATAATAATATTATTTTTTTCAGGCCGGGTTGGGTAGTTTGGAAAATCCAGAAGCTGTGACTATAGTTTTGGAGCCTGAAGCAGCAGCTGTACATTGTCGCAGTGCACGGCTAAAAAATACCAAAGTTCTTTCTAAAATTAGTTTTCAGGATACTTACGAAACTGATTATTGTGTTTTGAACGAAATAGGCGAAGGTAATAAAATTACTGAATACTTWATAAATTTGTTTAAAATGTTTGAAYTGTTTATTAGCTTAGAATTACATTGATTTCAAACTGATTAAATAATATAATAAATTCAAGTTAATAACTGAAATTTTGTTTTGTTTTTGCTCAACTTCAGGATGTAACTATTTAGTTGTTAATTGTGGCGGTGGTACAGTAGACGTAACAATTCATCAAGTGTGCCGTACTGCCAACCGACTTCCGATCAGTAAACTTCATAAACCTTCAGCAGGCGTCTGTGGATCTCTAAGTAATATATAGACAAAAATAAAACTTATTTCGTCTATTTTTGTTATCGATTCTATTATTTAAATAAACCTATCTTGCTTTTAAAAAGATACATTATTATGGTAAATAAGCAATACCAAAATCTTGTAGTTTAAACACTATTTCAAACGTGGTACCTACTATATAATATATATAGGTACTAGAGTATTTATACTTAAGGCCCGCACAAAGGGGGGCTGAAGGACCCACGATACTGGGGCCTGGACTTTCAAGGGACCCAGCGTTCTTAYAAATAATTTCTTCAATATATATTAGAAGAAATATTTAAAAATTAATTGGTAATTAAGAGGGGTCCGGATTTTGTTCTGTACCAACTATACCAGAGCCAAAAATATGATGTGGGGGCCTGTTTATACCTATAAGAGGAGRCTCTTATTAAGAGCTATTAAGTATTATACTATTATACATTTAAAAAAACAGCCCTCTATGTATTATTTTCTTTAGTTATTAAGTACCAAATCTGTATTGCTACATATATATAAAATACATTATATAATTGAGTATTTGAGTAAACGTTGTTKAATTGTTGTTGTATTGTAGGTGTAGATATTGAATTTGTTAAGCTCCTGTGTGCTTTATTCGGTTTTGGATTCATGTCAGATTTTAAACTTCAACGACCTGCGGCTTATATGGAACTCCTTCAGAGATTTGAAGAAGCTAAAAAGTYTGTCTCCAGCAAAGTGAGAGCGCCTATAGTTATAAGGCCACCGTACGCGTTTATCGAACACTACTTGAAGTATTCAGACAAAGAYGTTCGTAAATAACATAAATATATATATTATAATATGGCATTTAAGTAAATGTCCACGCCTCCACGGCGGTCATATTATTATGAATGCAAATGCGTATGTTTGTTTAAAGGTATCGGACGCCGTGAGAGATTACGGATCCGACGCGATCGTGTGGAATGAACTGGACGGTGTTTTCATTTTACACTATATGGCCATCGAGCCACTTTTTCTGCCAAGCTTTGCATGCATTTCGGAAGTAAGGACACTTTTTGGTATTGCTCAACATTTAGAGACTGTGGTAATCGTGCATCACACCCATCGTTTTTTATTCCAAACTTAATATTGACCTATTAATTATTACTGTAAAATATAATATATAAATATTATGTATATAGCAAATCAACAACATAGTAAACGACAACCAAAAAGTCACCCACATGTTTTTGGTTGGAGGTTACTCTCAGTCACTGTGGCTCCAAGAAAAGATCTCCGAGCGTTTTAGCGACCGCTTGAAAATAATCTTACCCGACATGGSTTATGTCAGCGTACTACGCGGGGCTGTCATGTACGATTTGAATAGGTCGGATACGCCTGCGTATAGAGCCAAACACAGTTACGCTGTGGGCATAATCAAACCATTCGTCGACAACACTCATCCAATAGGTAAGAATATATATGAAATGATATTTTGAATATATTATTACGTACAATACACACTGTAATAGCCATGAATATCTTACTGTGGTAGTGTGGTTGTCCACATATACATACCCTAACATACCCTAACTCCCGTCCATTGAAATTTTTAATGTACAAGATGACTCACAAAATATGCTCACCTCCATTTTTCTTTTAGTAATTTATTTAATTCCTTTTTTATTTTTATACGATCGTAGCCAAAAGTACAGAAATAACTAATAATAGGTAATAACTAAATAATAATAGTAATTAATATCGTTTAAAAATACTGATTTTTGGAATTTTTAATTATGCTTAAGGAATACACATTTTAAAATCCTTAGAACCAACTACTTTACCATTTAAGGATTATGCCATGGTGGTATAGACTTTTTTCAAACGATAACTTACCTTAATTTTGGGAGCCGCAAATTTATGAAGCCATTTCGAAGTGAGCCACATTGTTAATAAATTAAAATACATAGGTACCTCTATATTCAWAAGTTTAAAATTACCAAATAATCTAATGAATTATAACACACTTGACGATCTAAAACGGTAATAATTTTTAAAAATTAAATTTGAAAAATAAAATATTATTTTGTCAAAAAATTCCTGGTCGGGACAAATTTTACAAAGCACCAGTGCAGGGACACCTTGCCTTATAGATACACTGATTGTTGATAATATTGTATATACCTATGATGTAATTTCAGAAAAACTCGTCATAAAAGATGGTAAGCGTTGGTGTACAGACTTGTTGGATTACCTAATCGAAGAAAACGATTGTATAAGAGATAATGAGACGGTCATAAAAAAATACACACCTGCGAACTCTTCACAGGATTCGATCGTAATCAATATATACCTAGTACATAATCTATCAGCCAAGGTATGCACGTATRGCGTGTTATATATTATAATATTATATGATACTTTTAGAAATATGAAATCGAGACTAAAGTTTGAATTTCAATTATTTTATGTTATTCGATGATTATTTCATGATTATTATCATTATTATTCATTTTTTTATTTYCAGTTCGTTACGGACGACGGAGTRTTAAAGTGTGGTTCGTTAAAACTGACGARAAACGAAGACGTTCAACTGTCTAAAGAACTGTTGGTACAAATAGGATTTTGTGGTCAAGGAGAAGTGGTCGCGACCGCTTTAGATTTAGCGAGTGGTACTCGAGTGGATGCTCAGATCGCTGAAACCGATTGTTGAAAGAATATAGTCTTGTACCTATTGAGATTTTGTTTTAAAATATAATTAAGTCCTTAGGTATATTGTATATAAATTATAAATATATTGTTGTGTTTAAAATTCAGGCTCAATGAAATATGTATCTAAATCGACTAAATCTCTATTATTGGCTATTTAAATAATAAATTGTATATTTTACAACTATATTACTGTTTTAAACTTAAAATATTATTCTTATTTCTTAACATGATGTGGGTATTTAATATTATACTGATTATAATTTATACGTACTAGGTAAAGAGTCTTTAGTAAAGACTTAGAATAATTTATGTAATATCGATATTTGAGATAACTAATATCTGCATATCTGAAATCAACAATGTACCTTGTACCTACCTAATACCATTGATTAAATATACTTAATATATTTAATCAATGCTAATACCTAACAAAGTAACAACCAAATTTTATATAATATTACAATTATTATTTGTTAGTCATTAAATAGTTAGCAGGTACTTCTATAATTACCTGTTATTTGTTAAGATTAAAAAACGAACAACTATAAGAATATGATTTTGTTATACAATAAAATATTATTTTATATGTACTGGCTATGATTAATTTTAATACATACCTAAAAATGTTCCTATTCATAGTAATTTATTACCAGAAAATAATTTAAAACTAATATTGGTGTGTCACTGAAAAGTTTAAAATGTTTTTGAAACTTTTGTTGATTTTTTACCAATAAATCAACACAAACTACCTATATAGTAGGTACGCATTTAGTGGCCTGTGCTCAGTGTACTCAGTTTCACATAATTACATAGGTATTCACCTTTTATATCAATATCGTCAAATCACTCAAATCCATACACGTTAATTTATACCTTTTTTTTGTAAAAAAATGTATTTTATTATTTCATGAGATTTTCGAAAATCAGG